ATAATATATATAACTTTTTTGATGAATTACTATTTACATTTAAGAAAGAAAGTTTGAAAGGACATAGCTTAATACATAATAGCTTAAATATAACACTATAACATTAAATATATGCTAAGAAGTTCATTGGTACATGCAAATAAATATTTAAAAATTATAAATAACAATAAAAGCCAGTTTTAATCACATGTAATATATATATATATATAGAGAGAGACCTATATATTAGTAAGAAAGGTTGAACTAACAAATGCATTTATTAAAGCCTATCTGGAAAATATTTACTTTGTATTCAACTAATAGCATTTTTTTTCTCTCAACCATTGTTGAAGTATTACACATTTTCAGTTCACATTTATCTGCATCGAATTCTTCATAATAAACATTATCTTTACAAAAATAGTGCCATAGAAGCAGCCAGCATGTAAATCCCAGGAAACAGCATGGAAACTATATACTGTAAATACATGTACATTGCAAGGAAGGAGAATTTGTTAATGTTGAAATACATATTTTTTTCTGTCTTTTAGATTTCTCATCCACAGAGCCTGTGATACTGCACAACATTATCAGGTATTTCATGCATACTGGAATCTTTCATACTGTGCATACATATACCAGAAAGAAGAAACAGAGAAAAATCATTTATCATCCACAAAGTGCATTACAAAAAACATTCATTATTCCTCAAAATGTGGCCTAGACTTGTCCTTTATTTAATGGAAATTTTGTCATTACTAAAATAATAAATGGCAAGACATGATTTGGTCCGCATTTAAATTCTTCTGATGAGAAAAAAAGAGCAATAATTGAAATGATCATTGATGTCAATCATAAGGCCGTTCTGGTTTATCTTTATTGAGATTATTGACAGACTGAGGCAGAAGGTTATCGGACACTCACACACACACACACACACACACACACACCTCATGAAGCGTCCCTGAGAACGAGTGTGTTTTCTCTGATGGACTGCTTTTATCATCACACACACAATTACAGTCCGTTTCTGCACAGATGAGTTCAGATCATCCAGCTTATTAGTCACAGACATTCCTGAGGATCCTCATTCATTTCTGTGTCACACTTTGCCATGGAATCTCTCTCTTTTTTTTTTTGTCTAATGGGTCATTCTACAGAAATGTCCACTTTTGGTATGGCAAGATGTCTTAAAATGTATTTTTCTTTTTCTAACATTTAAACTTACACCACATTATTAGATTACCCTTTGACTTTATGAATATGCATAAATGACAGCTTAAAGGGATAGTTCACTTTGAAATTAATTTTTGGTATGTTTTAGCATACCTCAAGGGCATATAAGATGTAGGTGTCTTTGTTTCCGCAGTAGTTTCAATTTTGATATTTTTAGGTCAAGCCGTTGTTGTCTGTCAGTCATATAATGCAGGTCTATGGTCACCACCTCAAAGAGCATGCACAGAGAAGTCCAAATTAAACATGATTTAATGACTCGTAAATGTAAGTACACATTGATGGCCTAAGACACGAAACGAGCGGTTTGTGTGAGAAAACGAACAGTATTTATATCGTTTTTACCTCTTGTAACGCACAGACCGAAGCGCCCGCGCCCTCAGATCACTTGGACGTGGCTGTGTTTACAAGAGGATGTACCATTTTTTGTCACTGGTGTTACCTTACATCTTTGGCAATATTAAATGTTTTTATGAAATATTATTTCAATTTTTTTTCAGCACACGTAGTCAGAGTTACCAAAAAATAATAATAATGCAACAAATAAGGAGATTATGTTTTATTTATTTTAATCAGGTTTGTTAAAAGTGTGCTTGAATGAGGTTAGTTCATTTGTGCAACCTTGTATTTGCTATAACAATGAAAATATTTGAAAACCAGTTAAAATCAAGTAATGATGCAATCCTTTAAATCTTAACTTTTGAGTGTAGCAGAATTAAATGGATGTAAAATTATTATCATGTCACATATGGCATTGTATTTAATGTGACAGAAAGAAAAGACGGTAACACCAGTGACACAATGAATCACCAATGACATGCATAAGACCAAATATCATTATTCTTCAACTATAATTAAGTAGATGAGACTAAATTGTTAAATTTGGCATATAATCTAAATGAATAGCTTTGAGTAAAGTTTATCTATAAATGGGAGTCACTGGTGTTACTGGTGTTACCCATAAGAAAGGTGACACCAGTGACAGTAACACCAGTGACAATTTTCATGAAAAAATCATTTTACAAAATGGCTGCTGCAAGGTATCAAACCCACATGTTGTCAATCATGGTATACTAACTAAATTAAGTAGTTTAATCCATTTGTATTCTCATTTTTTTACAATTACCTAACAATAAATTTGGTCATACCAGTGACTTCAACTAAAAGCTTCATATGAAATCATGAGATAAATGAGAATATTTCTGATAACTGAAAAGAGACAGAAATTGGAAGAAGGAAATCAAGTGATGTCATCAGTGTGATTTTTATTTCAAAATAAGAGATTTTTGTTTAACGGTAACGCAGTGACACAACTCCAGGGGACCACTACTTTCATTATAAATTTTTATAATATTTATTCTGCATTTCGTTTTTTTATGTCATTTACATAATATATTAGATAGTTATGTATACATTATTGTATTTTAAATGGTGTAAAAACCTGTTATTGAACTCAAAATAAAGCATTTTCCCTCTGTACATGACTGTGGGGACGAGCACTTCTGTGGTGTTTGGAATTCTATATAATTAATAAAAAATAAAATATTGCCACTTGATGGCTCAAGAAGGTGTAATTGTTCAAATAACATATTGTTTTATTTTAAAATGTAAAGAAATTGTAATTCTAAAGTGTTTTTTTAAGTGTAATATTTCTGTAAAGGCTAGGGACAGAAAAATAGACATTTCCGTAGAATGACCCTAATATGAAAAAAAGTTACGTTTAGGTTTTCTTTGACACAATAATGGACTTTATAATCGTGTATGCTGAACATATTGCCTATCTATCTATCTATCTATCTATCTATCTATCTATCTATCTATCTATCTATCTATCTATCTATCTATCTATCTATCTATCTATCTATCTATCTATCTATCTATCTATCTATCTATCTATCTATCTATCTATCTATCTATCTATCTATCTATCTATCTATCTATCTATCTATCCATCCATCCATCCATCCATCCATCCATCCATCCATCCATCCATCCATCCATCCATCCATCCATCCATCCATCCATCCATCCATCCATCCATCCATCCATCCATCCATCCATCCATCCATCCATCCATCCATCCATCCATCCATCCATCCATCCATCCATCCATCCATCCATCCATCCATCCATCCATCCATCCATCCATCCATCCATCCATCCATCCATCCATCCATCCATCCATCCATCCATCCATCCATCCATCCATCCATCCATCCATCCATCCATTCCGTCCGTCCGTTCATCCATCCATGTTCATGTCATTTCTGTTTGAATGCATTTTAACCAATGAGCAAGCAAGCAAATATTTAATGTTATATTTAAGTTATGTATGATCAATCAATGTATTTATTTACAGATCTTTGTTCTCTGATGTTACAAAGAAAGAAAAACTGAATTTATCAAAGATAGAGTGTTTCATACAGTTTATGCTTACAGTAAAGTGTGTGTTTTCCAAACTCATATACAATCACACTTGTAACGCAAGTCACTCTTTCACAACCTGATCTCATGCTTTCATTACAGTTATACACATCTCAGTCCACATAATCAATGTTTCAAACACAAGATTATTGTAATATGTAATGAGAACATTTGGTTTAATCACTGAAACAAAACAATATGATCTTCTTTCAGTTTAGTACTTTTAACAATCAGTTCATTCAACAGCAAACAATAAGTCATGTTTCAAACCACTCTTGTTGCTGAAATAATGACAGTAACACAGGCTACAGTCGCCACATTAGAACATATACTTACATCACATAACTTAATCCATAATGTTATATATCTAGTGTGTTATCAAAAGGTGTGATGAAGTTATGAAACTGTCATGAGGATTTCTGTCATCATCATGTGTCTCTGATGAATCTGATGTTACTCTCACTTTATGTTCACAAATAACAAATTTCTCTCTCTCTTTTTCTCTCTCTCACGCCAAACACACACACACACACACACACACACACCCACACACACACACACACACACACACCCACACACACACACACACACACACACACACACACACACACACACACACACACACACACACACACACACACACACACACACACACACACACACACACACACACACACACACACACACACACACACACACACACACACACACACACATGTTTTTGCGCAAACTTTGAATATGGTGGTTAGGATAAATCACTAGTGTTAAAATAATTAATTTAAATTTCAAATCCATATCGGAAACAACAAGAAGTTCTATAGAAATTGTCTATAGAATCAATATCTAAATCTATAGGTGTAACCAAATGATTCATTTATTAACCATTAAGATCAGCTTAAAATGTATTAAACTGAACGGGAAGAAATGCAAATCAAAAGTTTGATAGTAAGAGCTTTATGATGAAATATTTATATAGCCTAGATGAAACAGTTATTTTGTGTTGTGAAAAGGATACTTTGTGATTTTTCTTATATAGTACTAACACAATTGAAAATATGCTGAAATGTTTGAAAAAAAGTGATGATCTGTTGTGATATTAGTATTAAGAGTCTGGATCTGTATATGTTATGTATATATATGTACAGTATATGTAAGATTTTCCATGATTTCTCCAGCAGTGCTGATCAGGGTTTCCAGTGTTGGGCAAGAGCTGACGGAAAGAGTCAAGCGGGTCAAAGGTTCAGACCGACGCTCAATAAATAGCAGAGCAGTGCCTGTCATCTCCAGAGAGCAGAAGAGAGAATAAACCCAACAGAAATCCTCCTCAAGTCCTGCAGAGAAGAACACGCTCCAGCGTCACAGAAGAGAAGATGAAGTGTGCACTCGTGGCTCTCGCTGCTGCCGTCGTCATCGCATGTGTGTGTGTCCTCCAGACCGGGGCCGTTCCCTTCACACAGGTGAGTCTCTGCCGCTGGGCAGAACCACACGCAACTACAGGGGAAACTCCAACAATATCGTGCAAAAGTTCATTTATTTCAGTAATTCAACTTAAAAGGTGAAACTAATATATTATATAGACTCATTACATGCAAAGTGAGATATTTCAAGCCTTTATTTGTTATAATTTTGATGCTTACAGCTTATGAAAACCCCAAAGTCAAAATTAGAAGGTTTTGTGAAAAGGTTTTCATAGCTGTAATCATCAACACTATAACATATAAAGGCTTGAAATATCTCACTTTGCATGTAATGAGTCTATATAATATATTAGTTTCACCTTTTAAGTTGAATTACTGAAATAAATGAACTTTGGCACGATATTCTAATTTTCAATGCATTGTTCAGTTTATGCATGCTTTATAAAAAGTGTTACCAGTATTAAACATTGTTTTTCTTAACATTTGAAATAAATGTCATGGAACTTTGATTCATATTGTTTAAAATGCGATTTGATTAACATTATATAAGGTCACCGATGTCTTCAAGGATAATACTGCCTGTTTTAAAGTCTTCACTTGTATATGATCAGCAGGTGCAGGATGAGCTTCATGTGGAGAGAGAAACACCACAGGAGAACCAGCTCGGGACTGAAGCTGCACAGGAACACACAAACCCACTGGTGTGTAGTACGCTGATATATAATGCAATGTATACATGATGTAATGTGTGTGTGTGTGTGTGTGTTTGTATACCATAATGTGTTGGTCTTTCAAAAAAAAAAAATACACACAAACATTTTTATTTTATTATATTACTTGTTTTTAGTTAGGTCTACATATATATAAATATATATAGATTCCCCAAAATAAAAATAAAAAATTGACTTAAACATGTGACTTTCCATGAAAATTCTATAATCCAAGATTGCCGCCACCATATGACATCATAATATGCAAATTAGATGGGAAAATGTAATCCCTACATAAACTTCATCCTTAATATTTCTCTAATTTACAGAAAGTCTCTATCTTTTATCTCTTTTAAGATATAGCCTTTTGAAATTAAGATGTCAAAATCGAACGTTTTAGGAAAAAAAACTTTGGCGCCTAAAGGGTTAATATTATTAATAATTTACAGAAATTATTATAAAATTTACATTTTATTAAACTTTTTTTTTTTTTTTTTTATATTGCTTAAACTGTTTTTATTTCAACATATTGCTTGTTTTTAGTTGGCCCTAAATAAAATTATTTTTTTCCCCCATAGGCATTTTTCAGGACTAAACGTCAGAGTCATCTGTCCCTGTGCCGATACTGCTGTAACTGCTGTCGCAACAAAGGCTGTGGATATTGCTGTAAATTCTGATCACATGGGCATTTGACGGAGTCCCGTGCGCTTGGGAAAAGAGTTTCTTTGAAACATTAAGTTATTTTGTCTTCAAAATCCCTCCTGAAATGATTTCCCCTGTCGCACATGTTGTTTAATACGGGTATACATGCAGGCTGTCTCCACACACACTCTGCTCTGTAAAGCTGCAGCTACTGACATCTAACAGACAAGACGAGGTGAACTCACCTACTTTTTTTGAACGCTGTTTTTATTTTATATATTTTATACATGTATATATATATATATTATGCCTGTGTACATAGACATGTTACACCAATGATTGTTTAGTATAATGTAAAAACATTTTTAATAAAATGATTTTTAAACATTGATTTGTTTGTTGCTTCGAGCTGTCAGTGGTGAAGCTCTAGGGGGCGCTAAACACTGAAACACACACACACACACACGCACAAAAAAAAAAAACACACACACACACACACACACACACACACACACACACAAAAACACATGCACACAAACACACACACTCGCACACACACACACACACACACACACACACACACACACACACACACACACACACACACACACACACACACACACACACACACACACACACATATACAAACACGCACGCACGCACACACACACAAAAACACACGCACCCACACACAAATACACACACACACACACGCACATACAAATACAAATACACACACGCACAGACACACACGAACACACACACACGCACAGACACACACGAACACACACACGCACACACACACATTCACTCACACACACACTCACACACACACACACACACACAGACACACACACACACAGACACACACACAGACAGACAGACATACGCACACACGTGCACACACACACCCACACGCACACGCGCACGCGCACACACATACACACACACATACACACACACACACACACACACACACACACACACACACTCAGAGACAGTCCGAGCCAGACTGCAACTCATTCATCATACAAGTATTGATTCTATACTGATTCTCCTCACTATTGATTGAGTTTGGCATTAGCTTGCTTCTATAAGCAAACAACAAGATACTTTAGTGAGTATAGAAAATACATAGGCTAACACACACACATTTGTTTCACAGGCTATATTAGTGAGGACATTGCATAGACTTCCATTGATTTTATATCAGGTTAATTATATGTACTATGACCTAACCCAACCCCTAAACCAAACCTTGGTTGTCTGGCCAAGAATATTTGGCCATCACAAGTAGCCAAACCTACACACACACACACACATGAACAAAGTAGTAGGTCATACTTTTTGCCTATACTCTCTTATGAATTCAGACATACTTCTCTTGTCACATACTGTTTTTCGCCTATAGCTACTATATAGGCAAGTATCACTCCATGTGCTTCTCTCTATTCTATACCAGACGCCTATATGTGCACGCTGGTTCATAAAGCTGCTGTTATGTTTCTTAAGTGGCCTCTCAACACTCAATAGCTTTTTCATCATGCATTTTATATAATTTATACTGAACTCAACAGTGTTGTTCAATATTCTTGAGATTCCTAAGCAGAATGGATGAAGACTTTAATCAAGGCAAACCACCAACGCAAACATGCGCCTGACTCTTCGTTGTGTCATCGCAGGCAGCACCTGGACTCGTTCGTTTTAATTAGTGTCTCTCTCTCTCTCTCTCTCTCTCTCTCTCTCTCTCTCTCTCTCTCTCTCTCTCTCTCTCTCTCTCTCTCTCTCTCTCTCTCTCTCTCTCTCTCTCTCTCTCTCTCTCTCTCTCTCTCTCTCTCTCTCTCTCTCTCTCTCTCTCTCTCTCTCTCTCTCTCTCTCTCTCTCTCTCTCTCTCTCTCTCTCTCTGTCTCTCTCTCTCTCTCCGTCCAACTGTTGAGGACTCTGTGGCACTGTTGGGTTTGGAGAGATTTATTTTATTGTTGTTATGATTTTGTCGTGGGAACATTATACAGAATGTTTTAAAAATGTGTGTAAACTGTGTAAAGCTTTTCATTGAGGAATATAAGACTGCATGCAAGACTGAATTTCACATGAAAACTCGCATGCACAGTGAAGAAAACAACATATATGTGTTGTGAGCCTGCGTATTCAGATATAGTGAAGCTGCACAACTGTTTTCAACATTGATGATAATCATAAATGTTTCATGAGCATCAAATCAGCATAAATGATTTCTAATGGATCATGTGACACTGAAGACTGGAGAAATGATGCTGAAAATACAGCTTTGATCACAGGAATAAATGACATTTTAAAATATATTCACATAGAAAGCAGCTATTTTAAATTGTAATAATATTTCACTATTTTTACTGTATTTTTGATCAAATAAATTCAGCCTTTATGAGCAGAAGAGACTATTATGCGTTTGAACTATGGTGTTCCTTCAGAAAGTCTCAGAATAAAATACACAATATAAATGTCTTATGGACAACTGTTACATTTAATATATAATTTTCAAAGTAATTGTATACTTTTTGGAGTTTGGCAGACATGATCACTAATCATTTTTAATGTAATAAACTTGTGCAAATATAAACTGTAATCATCATGATCACAATTGCATGAGCTTATTGTTTTCTGCCTAAATGAATACATGATGTCAGGCACAGTCATTGACACAGTCACCTCTGATAAAAGAGTACTCTAAATTGTAATGAAACTGTAATAAAGAACCATGGATTTTCTGTAAAGCTGCTTTGAAACGATATGCATTATGAAATGCGCTATACAAATAAATGTGAATCGAATTTAAAGGTACAATATGTAAGAATTTTGTAATAAAATATCCAAAAATCACTTGCACAGTGATATATTTCCTGCAGTTGTGTACTTACAATATCCCAAAAGTCTCCAAAGATTTTTTATTTCAGAGAAATTCCAATTTTAAATAAGTGGCCGTCCCGGAAAAAAAATGTCGCCTGTCAATGACGCAATATCCGCGCTATCCTCGGTTTCCGTTCGTACTGCCATAGCCATGACGTAACCATGGTGACAGACGCAACTGCGTAGTGCGTAACGATTAGCGGCACGCAGTTCTTGTTTTTTTCAAACATAGACCATGGCAAGCAGACTTTGGGACAAACAAAGAGAACTAAAACGAGGATCAACATCAGCGTGGCGTTTTTGAGAAGCCGAGAGCTAGCGTCCGCGACTAACTTGGACTCGACAGAGCTTCACGAGTCACGACTTGACAGCTTTATTAGACAGGTGAGCAAACGTACATAAAACAAATCAACGTTATATAACGTTAGCTCAACATGATGAAATTCAAGGGCGAAATTGTCAATCACACATTGGGGGGGACAGCTGTGGAACTTTTTGTGTTGGCGCATGCACACATTTTTTTAATCAAAATAAAATAAAAGTCAGAGTCCGAATGTTTGTAATTGTATAACACAACAAGGAATTTTATTACATCTGGTCGTCAAACCAACGTATAGCCTACTCACAATGATTACAGCATCGGCATCAATTACAGGCCTGAATTGACAACAAAGCGGTCAGTGATCTCTCTCTTTTATAGCCTTCTATAAACATATAGTGACTATAAACATTTTGATTAAATTACTGTTACAGGATAACAGGATATTTACCATTCATAGATAGCCTATGTGCCAAATGTCTGTCAATTTCCGCGCTCCTCCTAACTCTTCTTCTGTTTGGTTTTTCCTAACTCACTGACGATGCACAAGCTACTAAAGGGATAGGAAAACATGACATGGATTTCAGGAGAAATAGGTTTTGCTAAAAGTATAGTGTAAGGCAAGTCGAATGGATTTGGGAAATGGACCGGCCGGGATTTTATATTTTCGGAGCTGAGAAGAATTTTCGGCCCTGCCCGCACAATCATACAAGCCGCGTTTCCATTACCCTTCAAATTGCGCAAATTGAAATTGCGTAATGAAAATGCGCACAATGGAAACACTCCATTTCGCAAAAACTCCCGTTTATCCCAATAAAGTTTTTACGCTCGCATGAGGAGGTTTTTCAGGCAATTTGAAAAAGGAATATTTCGCAAAACTGCAATGGAAACGGGTTTTGCGCATTTACAGTCACCTGACTTAGAATACGCGGTGTGTTTTGGGTCCGTGTCCGCAAATAATAATAATAATTATCATCATTATTATAACATTTATTATATGTAGAAGACGCTTTTATCCAAAAAAGGAACAAAGCAATTCGTCACATTTCATTCATAATACAGTTTGGACAATAATAGGGCTAAGATTATCACAAATAAACACAAGATTTTGACGCATATCCAAGTGTGTGTGCGGACTGGGTGTGGAGCGCGCACTGGATGGCACGGTGGCGCGGGCGCGAACACTTGCATTTTCCTATCAACAGTCGAAACAACTTAAAATACTCTATCATTTCTGGTCATACAGAATATAATAATACATTATTCGCAACTACTTTTATTTGCGTAATCTCACAATAACAAGAAAACGATGTGCTTTTGTAAAATAAAATAAAACAATCAGGCGCGCTTTCATGATCTCCGTGAACTGAAGCGCGAGAACTGATAGGCTATATAGCCTTTGTAGACTGAAGCTTTAAATGTCCACTTTAAAAGGAACAAATTTGAATCGAAAGCCTTCTGATTATGTAATCCGTATGAAAGGTGCATTTCTCTCTAAAGGTGCATCCGGAGATGGAGATATGTTTTTAGCCGACACTGATTTAGGAAAACAATAGTTTAATAATAAACAATTAAAATGCCTCGTTATTTTTTCAGACACATTTATTATAGCCTAACTCACCTATACATCCCCTTTCTGTAGGCTGTGGTCATGGCTCTTCTCATTCAGCACTGCGGGAAAAATATAATTTCCAGGTTCTAATTTGGCCTTAGAAAACCAGTAAAATCTAAAAAAAATTTTTCTCCATATTAATTTGTGAATATTTTAAATGTTTAATAAAGGGGCAAAAAGTCATAAACAAATATCTGAAAATTCGTCTCTCTCTCTTTCTCTCTCTCTCTCTCTCTCTCTCTCTCTCTCTCTCTCTCTCTCTCTCTCTCTCTCTCTCTCTCTCTCTCTCTCTCTCTCTCTCTCTCTCTCTCATATATATATATATATATAATTAATTTTTTTGTGCAGCATTTGGTGTAGGCCTACAGGTCAAACTAAAATGTTGGTGTTCACCTTTGCGTTTTAAAAATACAACAACCGTTCATTTTTCGTTTTGCAATTACGGGTTAAATAAGAAACATGAATGCAAGTACACTGACCGTTTGGACATAATACGAGACAGAGTTCTTTATTGAATTCATAAAAGAAACAATAATTACAGGAATAGTCTACTGGACTCTAAGCCCACTGATCT